CAGAAACCAACAGGTGAACTATGAGTTGCAGAGTCCCAACCCAGCACCACAGAATGGAGTACTGTAGGGTGAATTTGGAGCTGGGGTATAATAGCTTAATAACTTTCACAGGCTGGGAGCACAGCTATTCAACCCCAGGAGTCTTGGAGCATTTGCTAAAAGCAGAAAGACAACCTCAACATGTCCCCATATTCTGCTTTAGGGTAAGCCAAAAATAAGTAGTCAGAGCTTTCTCATATCATAATTTTTTTGGAGACAGTGTCTTTTGATATAGCCCAGGCTGTCCTTAAACTCATGGTGATCCTTCTGCCTCAGCCTCCTGAGTGCTGTGATTACAGGTGTGCACCACCTTGCCCAGCCATTATGTTTTTCTACCAAGTTTCCTCTAAAGCCATGGGGACACGTGGTTTGTGTTACAATACATACACTATCAGTTAATTATTTAACCATGTGGCAGGATTATCAGATTCCAACTCCTCTTTGACTCAGCCTATTCTGTCTTCCAAAAAGATGCATTTCTTGCAACATTCTGTATCAGTTTGGGTTGTTGGCTAAAACAATAGAAACAGATTCTGGCTAACTGAATTGAGTTTATTGGAAATATATTGGGAATAACTTACTATGTCAAAGTAATAGTAATCTGGTCTTGGGCACGAAAGAAACAGGATGGCTCTTGGTATCTCATGGCTTTTCTTCAGGCCCAGCTCCAATTTCTAGACTGGGGTGTGTACTTAGATTTCAAATTCCTGAAGAGTAGACCCTGTTTGGCTCAGTCTGAATTAGGTAGGTGGCTGTCGTTTGGGCCAATCCTTGAGCGCAGGATTGGAGTACTGTGATGGACTATGTCTGAGTCACTTGACTCCACTGTGTTCGAGAGTAGAGTATTGGGGCTGGCAGGCTCAAGAGACCCCACAGATGGGGAAGGAAATCTGCTTCTTAACCCACATGGATTCCAACAGACTGTCTTCTGGAACAGGCCCCTCCTGATTTGACTCTGGTCCTTCTCTGCTGGCTCCTCTTCTCTATGGTGTGCTCAGCTGGGAGCATGCCTTAAATTGTGTAGTAGCTGAGTTTTCCTCTTGTATGTCCTTCTTCCTTCGTGTTCACTTCCTCTGCATGACCAATGCCCTGGTTCTACATGAGTGGTTTTTGGATTTATCCATTCAAACTAAGCTCTCTAGAATCCTTTTTCTGTAGGACTCTCTCTTGCTATCAGGGAGAAAGGGACTAGATAGAAACTAATTCCACTAGCCTTTTAATATCTGAGATTTTAATGTGTTGCTTTTCTCACAGCAATATAATACTCTTTTACTGGATGTGGTGGTGCACACCTGCAATCCTAGCCCTCTGGGAAGCTGAGGCAGTAGGACTGTGTATTCAAGCCCAGCCAGAGTGACTTAGTGAGACTTTGTTTCAGAATTTAAAAATGAAAATAAAAAGGGATAGGGATTCAGCTCAATGCAGAAGCCCTGTGTTCATTTCCTAGTACTGGAAAAGAATTATTGGAAATGTAAGGGAATGAGTAGAGAAATTTTCTGTTCCCTAATAGATGGCTGATGAAGGCATGTTAGGGGACCAGTCCTCTCAGGTCACATAATGCAGGTGTCAGCCTGATCCACTGCAGGTATGACTGACCCAATCCTAATGCCAGGCGTGTGCACATCCCTAATCCACCCGAGGGTCCTTAGACTCCAACTGGTGCCCTGGAAAGACATGATGCTTTGTATTAAATTACAACCTGACACACATTCTGTGTAACTGCCTGCACTATGAGTCTCAGGACCTACTAAAACATGGCTCCTTTGTAAAACCATCATTTCTATGGACCCTAGAGTAGTTCTGGAAAGGGCAGTAATCAGAGGATCCATGACATCTGAAAGAAGCTTTCAAAGCCAGGTGCAGGTGAGCTGGGAGGAAATGTATTAGAACAAGGGTGGAGTTGCACTTCCTCCAGGAAGCCACCCTCAGTAACTCAAGGCTTCAGGGCTTTCTGAGTTTTATGAACTTGCATTTGCTTTAATATCGGAGAGCCCATAAAAATAACGTTAGTGCCTTCAAAAATTTAGTTTCACAAAGTTCACATGGAATGGGAACAACTGGATTTTTATTGTTATTTTTATTTATTTTTTTATTCAAGGTCTCTCTGTGTAGTTCAGGCTGGCCTTAAATTCACTATGTAAGCCAGGCTGGCCTTGAACTTGTTGTAACTCTCCTGCCTCAGCCTCTCAAGTGCTGAGATTATAGGCATGAACCACCACACCTGGGATTTTTTTAAAGGCCTGTATTCATCATTTGCATAAGTGTTCCTGGTTGAGAAACATTGTATCTATAAGAGGTGTTTGGGAATAGAAGTTGCAAAACGGAACCTGCAGAAGAAATCCAGACCTCATATGTGGTTTGTTTGGCCAGCAAAGTGTTAAAAAAATATCTGAAGGTGAATGCTTTTAGGTGAGGGTATGCAATCTTCAATTTGCTCTCTCCCCCATGCTTCCCTACTGCCTGTACTTAGGTGCTTCACTTTTTCTTTGCTTGTGGCTGATGGGCACTTGCACATGCAGGTGAGAGTCATGTTGCACACGTGCACACTGGCGGGCAGCCTACTTCTTTTAATGTTGACCAAGCTCTGAGTGTTTTTGAAGCCCTTCTTCAGGTACTGACTTTAGAATATCTTTATCTACAGAAAGAAAACCCGTCTCCTCCCTCTGTAGCTGTGTTATTACTTATTTAAAAAGATGAATATCCTCAAGGTATACATGATATAGCATTCTTGGAAAGGTATAAGTGGACATTTATAATCTTTGAACAGAGGGGCTTGTGACAGAAACTCCTTGATAGAAGCTCAGAGGAAACACTTCTTATCCGGCATTCTTTCTAAGGGACAAGTAAGTTCTCCAGATGTATGAGTTCCAGCAGCATAGGGCCATCTAAGTTACCTTGGAGACTTTGTAAACCACTGTGAGCCCAGGGCTGAGGTACTATCTAGCTCAGTGCTATCCAACAGAAATATAATGTGGGCCACAAATATAAGCCAAGTATGTAATTTAAAGTTTTATAGTGCCCACATATAAAGAGTTAAAAAGTGAAATTAATTTAAACAATTATATTTTATTTAATCCAATGTATCTAAAGCACTGTCATTTTAACATTAAATCAATTAAAAATTACTGAGATATCAAACTGTTTTTTTCCCTAAGTGTTGAAAATCCAGCATATACTTTATCTGTGAAGCAGATCTCAATTTGGACTAGCCTCATTTCAGAGTGATACAGTTATATTTGACAGTGTGGATTCAGCCTCTTATTGGGAGACCAACATGGGAGTCTTGGAAGGCAGAAAGGTCTCTTGGTTGGGTGGTCAGTCCTGTGGACTGCCTGTGTGTGCTCTAAGGTGTGCTTGCCTTTGGGCCATTGACTCATGTCCTAGTTGCCATTTTTTTCCTATGGTGGAAGGGACTCAGCTTTAGCCAGGTTTCCCAGTACTGTGCCAACTTTCCTCCATGCTTCATTTCTTCCATTTCAAGTCCTTGTCTGTCATCTCAATATAATTCAAAGCTTCGATGGGCTGAGAGCCAATGGACCCAACCCAAACAGGAAACTGGATTTCTTGTTGTTTATCTGGAACCATGAACCAGAAAATGTTGGACACTTGTTTTCAGTGCTTCATTGAGCTGGAACTGAATTGAAACACAACTCCTTCCAAAGGTGCCTTTTCCACGGAATTATTTAGAAGCTTCGACCATTAGACTAAGATAATTAATTAGACCATGAATTGATCCTAAGGTTTCACCATTATCACATCATTATCATTATCACATCTCATCATTTGGTTAAAATCTTGTTAGAGGATAAACAACCTTGTATGAGGCTGGAGCATCCCAAAGGATTCTAAGAATATTTTGGCAAGTATGCCACAAACTGTCCATGTGTAAAAGGTTTTGGTATAGGTCTCTATCTCAAACTTGTTTGTGGGCCGCACAACAGATAGTCTTGCCTGTTGTTACCTGATTTTCTCTGTTGTGGAAACTTTGGTAACACTATGTACTGTGTGGTGGCACTATGTACCACTCTGGCAGACATGTTGGCAACCTAATAGCCATACCTTCTGCTTTTACTCCAATATGGGAGAGCTCACTTGTTGCATCAGAAGCTGACAATACTATATGCATGCTTTCCCAGACTCCTTTGCAGCAGGAATATCCATAAGACCCAGTTACATCAGAAAGACATACAAGGTATTTTGGGGGAGCTCTTGGGAAAGACTTATCTCCTAGATACGAGAGAGAGAGAGAGAGAGAGAGAGAGAGAGAGAGAGAGAGAGAGAGAGAATTCATCATTTTGGTAGGACCCCATTTCCCTGATAGGGCCATTCATCATGACCTAATCACCTCTTAAATGTCCCATCTCTCTACATTATTGCATTGGAGTTTAAATTTCTGACACATGAACTTTGGGAACTCATTCAAACCATAGCGGTGGGTAATGTGTGCTTCTTCAGAACTCATCACTCAGACTTGCTGAAATACATTTCCATTCTCATCATGTTTTCTTTCAAGTAAGCTACCCTGATGAAAGCCTGGATGTATCTTCGCTTTCAGGACATAATATTCTGAGAGGTGACTTGTCTCAGACAGCTAAGTCCAGGGTTGCCTCTGGAGAGGGTTGATAGGAACTGTGGGAATGCACAGAAGTGGCTCTCAGGACACTGACCTACAGCTTTAGGAGCGCGTACTGACCATCTGCAACTGTCCTCAGTAACTCATTCTCATCCCTAAATCAGGAGAACAATGGATGCCCAAAGGGATTGGGCCTATCAATCAGAAATTGAACTTGGTTTGCTCAACTACCCACCTGGTGCTATGGCCAAGTATAAGAAGGGAACAAGGGCTCTAGAACATCAAAATGTGAGTGATACATCCTTCTGTATCAGATTATCACATCCATAACAGCTGTAAAAGACACATGACACAAACTGAACTGAAAATATAATTTATTCATATACTTACATAGGAATTTATTATAGACAGTAGCAAAAAACCCACAAATGTTCCCTAAGAATTCTCACTTGATTTTTAGTATAATACTTAGTAACAAAAATAACTTGAGAAAATTAATATTACTTAAATAAGACAATGTACAAGGCTTTAAAATATTTGTATTTGCAGATCTGTGTGAGCACATGGGGAGAAGGTGCTGCCATGAACACAGCAGAAGCTTGGTTCTGAAGATCAACTTGGGTTGGTGTCTGAAGTCTCTGCTTTGCTCAGCTACACACAGAGTCTTCATTGGTAGAAATCATTGGTCCTGTTTGCTTTTCTTTTTCTTTCCCTCCAGTTCTTATTTCACAAATTCTCTAATAAGGAAGATTTCAGTTCAAACACCAAGAATTCAGTTTTTCCACAGGAATACCCGTAAATCTGTGACAGTTGCAATTTCATGCTTTCAAAAGGTTTTGGTCACAGGGTTTTAAAAATTGGAACAGTATTTGCATGTTTGTTTTCCTGAAAAGAGGAAGAAGTGAACTTCAGCCTAAAAGATAGATTTATTTACTGCCCCACTTCTATTTATCCATTCAACAAACTTTACATTGTATACTGAGGACTGAAAGAGGAAAAAAATCTTTCGGGTTTCAATTTCACTCTTCCAATCTCCTAAATGCTGAACAGAAATGTATGGAGGAGGAAGGCATGTTTGGTCATAGAATCTTTACAGAAATCCTAACTTTCAAATTTAAAATAAGGAAAACAAGGAAAATTATTTACCTGCATTTCTTCTGGTGGTTCAAACACCATTGGTTTCTGAGAGAGAATATTCTTAGTATATAGAAAGTAATGAGGGTTTAAAAAGAAAATCTGGCAATTTGTAAAGTAATACCTGCAAGCAATTTAACTTTAATGACCAGTCTTTATGTGACATTGTCAAATGAATTAAAAATGTGACATTAAGGGGCTGTGAAAGTTGATGATTCCAGATACTTAATGGAATCACATAAGGATTAAAGTAAAAATGTGCTGAGTATTTTATAAATAATTATGCTAATTATTTTTATAAATATGTAAGTTTTCTTTAATGTTCAAAGTCTGTTTAAGGCAGGAACTTCAGTTATTTTATTTCACTGAAAACAAATTATTTTCTCATAAGAAAAATAATAAAACCTCCTGAAAAAATATTTGCAATTTCCAAGAAAAGTAGCAGTACAGAATAATTCTGATTGACAAAGTCCCTTTTTCCCTCCTGCAACTGTTAGCCTGAAAAACCCAATCTTCTCCCATAAGATAATCACACATGCACACACACACGCACACACACACACACACACACACACACACACACACACAGAGAACGCAGTATGGAGGACATTCTGCTGGGGAACTGGAGACCAACCCAGTGATCAGCCAGTATTCCTGCAACGTTGACCAAAACTGCAACATGTCACTTGCATTGATTTTAAACAGCCAAATTGTTTACATCTGAGAATTCTGGGTTGACTTCAATTTTGTGACCATGAATTCCATAAGGCCTAGTTGGTTAATGAAGTTTAATTTTTAATACTGTTAACTTCATTTGGCCAACTCTATACCAAAAATATCAATAAATATCAATGATTAGCTCCACTTTCACTACTTTTTGTTGGAGCCTTTTGACTTTATAAATATAGTACAGTCTTAGCGCCAACCCCTACTGGGGTTTAAAATTCCATATCAGAGCACATCACCTGGATGTGGCTCTCATATGCTCAATGATATTCCCAGAGTCAAAAAGAAAAAGGAAAAGAACAGATGGATAAAAGTTGTTCCTGGTGAAGAGAATAAGTGTGCTGAGCCCCTGGAAGTCAACTGGAGCAGTTGTCAGAAATGGGTGTGACCATGGCCGGGGTGGGGTTGCCCTCACAAAGGGCTGTCAATCATCCTTTTCCTGGTTTGTAGGTAGAAGATGCGGTTCTCTTCAGAATAAGTGACTTTAGTGAGAGGCATCCTGTAGATGTTGGAGTTTGTTGTGGTCACCAAAAGGAACAGTAGTGTGGCCAAACAGAAGGGCCAGGTGCAAGATGGCAATCCGACCTGGGGAAGAAGAGACAAGCCATGTATTTCCTTGAGATCCCACCTGAGAGCTAATCTGCACACAGTACACTTTCAACTTTCTGGAGAAGAATCAGTGGGGAATTGCTCTGAATTCTGTTTATGCTCATGCAGGAATAGTTTAAGGTCCCAGGGTATTTAGCAGTTGAAATGTTTTCATCCAGTTTTCTTGTATATTTTCCCTCATTCTCAAACATTCGGATTTCCCACACCAGATGTGCCAGGATGACACTTGGCACATGGAGATGACACTTGGAAAATTGCTAAAGGCCCCTGATCATGTATCACATCCACAAGGCCCTTGCTGATTAGTCCAGCCCATGGTGACCTCTCTGATCCTGACTTCCACTTAGTTTTGCTTTACTTTTTTCCCTTTTGTCTCTCAAATAGACTGAGCTTCTCAAGGATAGGTCCCTCTTCTGTGCTGTCCATGCAGCTCACACAATTCTGAGCATACACCATTGGTTAGTTCTGGTCTTATGCATGGATCTCATGGAATGTGATGGAAGAAAGGGGTAACTAAACCTAACTATGTTATCAGAAGCATAAGATCTATACATCATATACAAGCCACCCTATCTGAACAATAAGGGATAGCACCTAAGGATCTGTATTTTCCTAGCTGACTCAGTTGTGCAGCTTTTGCTGTTCTGTTTCATGGACTGATGCTTTTGAATTTTTTTTGGTGGGATGGGAAGGGCTCTACAATGCCCTGATGTACTACTCCTCATGTAATGGAACTTGGGCTTTCCAATATAAATATGCTGAATCTCCATAAAGGCCCTTCCAGATAAAATCTCTGTGCTTCTGCTGCGAAACCCAGACATTGCCCTTACTCATTAGCAACAGTGAACATATCAACATGGATTTAGCTACCAGAAACTGGCCCTGGATATCCTGCAAAGTTGGGGAGGAAGACAAAAATGTTTAGGCATTGGGAGGTGGAGGATCCTGGACCAGATAGGGAAGACTGGGCTCCTCAGGGAAGGGGCAAAAGAAGGTCAAAGGGCAAGAGGACAATACTGAAAAGGAAGGAGAAACAGTGGCAAGAGACAATGGGTGAAGATTTTGCCTAATAATCCAGCCAGAACATGGGGCTGAGAAGCCTTATTGATGACTGACTGGAGATTTAATAAAATCCAGAGGTATAAAAAAATTACTGACTAGATTTAAAACAACAACAACACCTGAGTCTGTAGTGCATTATCCTTTTCCTCTCTTTCCTAATATCTCAACTATTACATGGTTCTGGCTTTCTGTTAAAGAAAATGATATTCTATAGTCAATCTCTAGAAAGTCAGAATTAGTCTATGAACTTGATAATACATTGTACAGTTATTGATAAAGGAATTTTAAAGTTACTCTTTAAACCAAGCAATCTGATATTTGTAACAAGCCTGGTGATTATAGTTTACTGTGATGTTAGAAGGTGAGAGGGGCCAGAGATCTTTAGTAGCAGGAGGACTAGTGATTGTCATAGTCATGGCTCCTCTTGCTCAATGCCTGCTGCCCAAGTGGACCTCAGGAGAATTTTTCGTACAATTGAAAGCTGATCAATCACATGATGATAAAATGAAACTGCAGTAAACTCACATGAGCCATCAGGTTTGTCAAGGTGCCTCCAAGATAAGCAGTGAACAGGGCTACAGAAAAAAAGAAGGAGGGACAATGTTTGGTTAATGTGTTTTTAATCACCGGAAAGACTGTTTCCAATACAATAGCTCTGAGAGGCAGTAGCTCTGAGTTCAAATTCAGCCTCCAACACTTAGGAGCTCACTGGACTCTGTCCTAAGCCTCTACTTCCTCACTATACAAAGGAAGTGAGGGATTATCTCTCTCTGGGTTATGTGAATATAATGTCTATGTTTAGATACAATAAATACTCAATATAGGTAGTTTTATGGGACTATATTGTTGTTGTTACAGCCAATACTTAAGGGAAAGGCCTTTCATAGCAAGTACATTCCCTTATTTCTTTATCAAGCATAACCAAATTTAAGTGAAACTAACAAATGTTTCTGGAGTTAGCCTGGTTTCTATATGACCTCACTACATCTAGGACTGTCATTTTAATAGTTAAAATTCATAGCTACAGAAAACTACATAGAAACAAGAAAGTGAGAACTCAGAAAAAAGCACAAACCTAACAAAAATTTAAGATCCTTCCCCACAATAACATTTTCCCAATAACAATTTCCCAAAGTTGGCATACAGGTCAACATTCTATGTTTTTACTTATTTGGATATATATATATATATATATATATATATATATATATATATATATATGTATGTTATTCCCCATCTCCATGTTTCCTTTTCAATGGTATAATGAATTATTTCTTTTCTGAATTGCCTCATGCTGGGGGAAGGCTGATCTTTGGAAACAGTCCTGGTTTCAAATCCCAGCTCTGTCATTGTTTTTGTTGTATAACAAATCAGTGAATTTTTGAGAATCTTGTTTTGTCATCCAGAAAAAGTAACTTGGAAATTTGCTTTACAGGGAGGTGATGAATCTCCAATGAAAGCATGTGTTTCCACCAACAGTAGCGATAAATGTGTCCTTATCACCCTGAGATAGAAGCTGCTCTGAACAGCAGGGTGCTCGTGATGTGGGTTGAAAGGTTTTCCTCCTCCTTGGTTTCATCAATTTCATTTATTTTAAAGATATAATTCACCCATGCAACAGCTATTCACTGGCCCTCTGCTAAGCACCAGATGAACTTTATCCCTGTTCCTGTGAGTACCAGCTCCATTGCGACACTGCCCCTGAGCACACAAGAATTTATTAGCAATTCTCTCCTTTCAGTGCTGGACTTCCAGGACATGCCTTCGGCAATTGTGTTTCATACTGTCAGGCTGTTTTGGAGTGATCTCCAATCTAAGTTGCTTTTCTTTCCACAGTAACAGGGCAAGATTATTAACTATAGGTTCATCTGTTAGGACTTGCCAGGAGGGCTGAGAAAGACTTACAGCAGCAGGGAATCTCTGCACACCATACTCAGTCTGTAGGTAATTTTCTGACAGCGTTTTTGGTAGACAAGGAAGAGAAAAGGCCCTTGAACCCTTAGGAAAGACTGGACTTCAGCTTTTTGTGGACAGTGTCCTTCCAGTGGACCATTATACATGAGTACTACTATAATAACCCACCCATTGACAAGAGACAAAATGTGCTTATAGCATCCACAGATAGCATAATGAATTGGGACATTCCTTGGCTATACAATCTGGAGGCAGGGAAGGTTACTTTGCCAGGTGTAAGAATTTCCTAAGTCCTTCTCCTGATAAAGAAATTTGAAAGAACAGCTCTGTGATCAATGTCTGTTATTTATTCATCTTGTCACACAAGGTTGACCTTTTGTTTGGCAGTGTCAGGGTGATGTGGGCAAGCTGAAACTTGCTGTGGTATTTTACATGTGAGACTTGCTTTTCAGAAGGAATGAGAGTCTGTCTCAAAAATTCACATGCAGAAGATGCAAAAGTCTGATAGGACCCAGTGGAGACTCTTTCACACATTGCCAGCAGCAGCAGCAGCAGCAGCAGCAGCAGCAGCAGCAGCAGCAGAAGAAGAAGAAGAAGAAGAAGAAGAAGAAGAAGAAGAAGAAGAAGAA